AGGCCTTCCCTTTCATACGGGTTCGAATCCCGCCGAATTCCGCCAGTTTTTTTTCACAATTGGGTTGACTAAATTAAACAAATCTGCCAAACCTCCTTAATAAAACTGACTTAAGTGAATTTGTGGTATTTATTATCTCGGTGCATAACCTCAAGATATTTCAGAAACAAGAGGATGGCGGCCTTTGAACGCACATCGACTCGGCCTCCTGGAGAAAACTTCACTTGATAAAACATGAACACTTAGGTATTGTGCATTTGTTTTCTATAGATTTTCGATGCTCTTACAAATGCAAGTGTATTTTGTAGAAGAAAAAAGGAGTAAAAGTATTCAGTTCATCAACAAAGACTCACTCTACCACCATACATAGCGAGCAAGGTACAATCCATGATATAATGTCCCGCTTATCCGTCATGTACCGTCTGTCGCTAGGTGAGCACTTTCAAGGGCTCCAGACCTGAGCAACTCGGCAGAACGCAACGCCCATAATGTATCCAATAATACAGCTGAATGAGTGAACGTCACTTACATGTGACTCTATGCAAGTTTCGTAAGAAGACGAGAAACGTTCCCACGCACCAAATGCCCCTCTACATCAAACATCTACATCATACGTACGAAGTGGGTTGCTGAAGCTGTTCGGTGAGAGAACGGATTCGAAACAGCACGCTCACGTCATGATCACCTCTATGTGACGCCATGCGTGTGCTTTATATCGGGGTCCAAAGACTAAATAAAACACTTCTATCTCGTACTGCCTCATAGAAGAAAGCTACTTCCAAAGTGACCTACTATATTTCCGAGCGAAGTCCACAGAGAGCAAACAGGGGGTGACATCTCAACAGTGATAAAAGGCAGACTTATCGAGTACCCTTAGTCCAGGTTTGTAAAACTGAGAGTTCCAGGGGGATAATCTGAAAAGGAGGAGTTTTTCATGGGGACTGGGTTGTCGTGTTGCTGACATTTCAAAGAATTTGGTCGGTTTTCAGCACTAAATGCCTTGACAACGGAGAACCGACTAAGCTTTCCGAAATTTCAGCAGCAGCACAACGCATTTCCAGTGGATAACTGCTCTTACTCAGAGTATTTTTATATCAATAGGGACTAAGGGAGATTATTCCAAAACATTGGACGGTGCCCACAGACATCCTACCAAGCTTATTCCTACGTATTGACATTACGAATGAATGTGGGACTAAGAAGGCAGGATCAGACTTCTAATTGGTAAAGATGAAATAAGTATGCAAGGTGGAAAGATATGCTAACAACATATAAATAGCCTACCACAATCCCGGCCATTGGGCAGCGGGTCGAACATCTCTAGGACATCGTCGTAGTTCGTCAGTGCGGCATCGCCAGCAGATCCGTTGCCGTTTACTATACAAGATGCCTAAAAATGCAAATGAAATAATTTAGTCGTGATGGCAGAGACAGTAGCCAGAACCAGGTAACCGTATAAAATGGAACAGATAATTATATTGCTCTAAATCTGGACTCCTCAATTTCACCCCAACCATCGGAATGTACCAAAGACTGTTGCCTTCAAAGAAAAACAAATGAGTTGGAGGCTGCATAATTGCGATACAGCCAAGAAGTCCTCTTCGTATAGACAAGAAAGCTTCAGTTCTAGTATCGTTTCAGTGTTTACAGTGTCCAACAAAGCCTCTGCGTACATAGCAGACTGCAGAGAGGGGATTTACTGTTCTTGCACTATGGGGCGTTGAAGCACCTTGCCCAAACACGAAAAAGTACGTACATGCAGCAGCGTTTCAGCAGAAGAGAGTGATCACTGTCGAACTTTCAAACCTAGTATATGTTTGTGGCTATCCTGGGATCGGTTGTCCCTCATTTCCCACCTTTTTCTGTTTCCACTGAGAAGTGTATGTTGAGGACAACCACGTTCGCATGCCGCTTAAGATGCCCGATATAGTCAGATGTAGCAACCAGGTCCCATCTTCGTACAAAACCCAGAACTCAAGTGAAAGCTAAAACATTCTTTGTATTGTATAGTGACCATCGTGATCAAAGTGGAGTATTAAGTCGACAGATACATCTTCCATTGGTTGGATATCTGTTTATAGACAATGAAGTGAATCTTGACATATAACCTCAGAGTTTATGGTATTGGTCAGCTTTCCGAAGCTTTTAGTTTTCCATATAAATTTTCTTTACCAGTTCGCTCATAGCCGTCGCCATCCACTTCTGAAAATTTATACAGTGAAAAGATGAATTTTGAGGAACGTATGATTGCCGTTGGTTCTCGGACTGGGTCTTTGACACGTCCAAAATGTGCCGCCAAACTGATAGTGGCTACGGATTCATCAACTAGGAAGTTGACTGTGAAGAACATCCACTTTGCGACAATGTGGGCTAGACAACTGCCTGT